AACCTGAATGTTTTCAAAATTGCTGGAAATGACAGTGTTTCCAGCTATAGGCAATCCCTGAAAGAAGCTAGATTAGTATACGCTATCAGAAAATAACCAGCATAATCACAGGTATCTGTTTAGCACAATGGCCAGATTAACTAGGAACCAGACATTTCTTGAACCTGATAACCCACTACAGTACAGCGGCGATTACTTTTCTCACCGAAAAGATAAAGAACATTAGAAAGAAAATTGCAACCAACTGTTGCCATACATCAGACATCATGATGATGCATCCTGCAGTTTCTGAACCGTTGTTAAATATCATTAACTTCTCCCTCTCTCTAGGACATGACCCTTCAAACTGGCAGTTTATACCTCCCTTACAGAAATTTGGCTTGCTGCAAGGGGTGTTACCCATTGAGCACCTCACTCTATTTTTCCACCTCAGAAACACTTGCGTTACAGAATATTCTTTCTAGACGCAGAAATGTTAGCTCATGCATTCATTACTTTGAGACCTGATTATTGTAATGCACTTCTGGCTGGATGCCCGATTGTTTCCATAAATAAGCTGCAGTTTGTTTAAAACACTGCAGCCAGAGTTCTAACCAGGTCCAGAAAATATGATCATATCAGTCCAATATTATCATTGCTGCACTAGTTACCTGTCAATACATTTACTTTAAAAGCTCTCAGTCACCAAGCCCCTCGCTCACTCTATTTTTCCACCTCAGAAACACTTGCGTTACAGAATATTCTTTCTAGACGCAGAAATGTTAGCTCATGCATTCATTACTTTGAGACCTGATTATTGTAATGCACTTCTGGCTGGATGCCCGATTGTTTCCATAAATAAGCTGCAGTTTGTTTAAAACACTGCAGCCAGAGTTCTAACCAGGTCCAGAAAATATGATCATATCAGTCCAATATTATAATTGCTGCACTAGTTACCTGTCAATACATTTACTTTAAAAGCTCTCAGTCACCAAGCCCCTCAATACCATACAGATCTCATGCCTTCTTATTAGTTTTCATGCCCAGATCCGCCACTAGCCTGCCATCAAACGCCAGTCACATCCAATGCCAGGTTCTTTCATATATTTTGCATACCATTCCTACTATTTACAGTACAAATAGTGTGATTTCTTATTTTATTAGTCATTATAATCATTACAATTATTAACTGTCACTAGATCATATCTGTTGGATCAAACTACATCAATCAAACTAAAATTACAAACATAAATACCAAACACAGAACACCCTAACAAATTGAATAATAACACAAAAGAATTACAACCAGTTGCATCATATTATAGGTCTTAAAATACCTCATTCTCACAGTAGAAGCAACACTATTTAAAATGTAATACAACTAATACTATTTTTGTTTTCTTGGCTGACCTAAATCAGATTTTTTTTTGTACTGGGAAAGACTCAGTTTACCTCAAAAGATTCTGCAAAATGTAACAATAATTACAGACAACAGGCTAGAGGAAAGGAAGCATGACCTTTTTGACTGGACAAAGTGAACATCATATTTAACTAAACAATGAACAAATATTTTGGGATTAATTTCCAGATCACTGATACACAAGTCTTTGCTTTGAAATTGCCAAGTGAACAGTTCTACTTCAGACTCTGCATTGATCCATTATTTCAGAGCACACTACTGCATCTCTCTGAGCAATGCATGTATCATCCGTTTGTGTGAACTTGTGATTTAACAAACTCTGAGAGAGTCCCACAGATTAACTTGAAAAGTGAGGGCGAGTATTTGTCATAGACTAACGGTTCCCTTGTGAGCGTGTGATGAATGAAATGGAAGCAGAGCTTCTGTGTTCAGAGTCACTAATGGTTGTTGCTGTTTGCACGGCTCTCACTATGGGCAGAAACTTTTTTTTCAGACTGATCAGAGCTGCTTTTCTGCAAGATTGTAGAAGGAGCTGTATATATATATTAGGAATAGGATATATTTTTAGGAAAGCTGTCATTAAAAACACACCACCATATGCAACCCATAGCAAAAAATCAATAGGCCTAAATAAATAACAATGATTTAACCAGAACACAGTGGTATCTGCATTTGCAATAATCAGTCCCTGTAACATTCAATGTTATAGAACCACTTTTTGTGAAGTATGTAAATGGGGAAATGAAATTGCTTGCAGGATTTTTTTGTTAAATGTATAATATGTATAAAATGTATATTCACACAGAGCAACCAGTCTGGTTTCAGAAGTGGACATTCAACCGAGACTGCCTTGCTCTCAGTTGTTGAAGCCCTAAGACTGGCAAGAGCAGATTCCAAATCTTCAATACTTATCTTGCTGGATCTGTCCGCTGCTTTTGACACAGCTAACCACCATATCCTCCTGTCAACCCTACTGGCAAAGGGCATCTCAGGAACCACACTCCAGTGGTTTGAGTCTTACCTATCAGATAGGTCCTTCAAAGTATCTTGGAGAGGTGAGGTGTCCAAATCGCAATATCTAACTACTGGGGTGCCTCAGGGCTCAGTTCTTGGACCACTTCTCTTCTCTGTCACCATGGCATCATTACGTTCTGTCATTCAGAAACCACTGCTATGCTGATGACACTCAACTCTACCTCTCATTCCATCCTGATGATCCGACGATAGCTGCTCGCATCTCAGCTTGTCTAACAGACATTTCTTGCTGGATGAAGGACCATCACCTTCATATATATATATATATATATATACACCTTGCTACGTGTACTGCGTTAGGCTAACCGAGACTTGTCATTTGCACTTATATATTGTTGCTCTTTTGTTAGCATGCTTTGTCCCAATGTTATGCCTGTCCGGCATTAGAAATAATCTTGTTAACAAATCGGCTTTGTTTAAACAGGTAGGGTAAGACTAGAGTCAACAGACATTATCTTCCTACTGAGCAACTATCCATTTGCCGTTTTGTCTGAATCGATTAAAACATCCTATTGCCAAAATAATTGTGTGATAGAGCACAGCAGAGGCATGTAACCTTCATTATGAGTATATTTGCTCCTCTTCAGGCACTCAGAACTGAATTGGATGAGACTGCATGTTAGACGAAATTCAATAACTCAGGATGACATGGTTTCATTATTCTTAATCACCCCTGTTCCATCTTGTTCGTTTAATTTTTCATTTCAGCATGGGGTTTGCAGTCATTGGTCCGAACAGTGGAAGTGTTTTTTTTTCAATAAGACAAATCATAAAACATGAGGACGGACAAGGGCGATGCCCATAGCCAAACCTGTTTGTGTTGCTCACTGGAGAGCAGAGATAAGACTGTTTAATTGCACTTTTTGTAGTCTTCCCTCCCACTGAATAATTTCTAGTTATAAGAAACCAGGCTGTTGATATGTCATTCTCCAAAAAGACAAGACATATTTAATCCACAAAGACAACAGATGCCTTGGTTTTCAAAAGATTGATCAGTTGTATCATGCAGTACAGCAATAATCTGAGGCAAAGAGCTATGACTGCTGCAAACTCAATGAAACATGAAAAGTTAAGGGATATTTCTGGAATTTCACACACTGACAGAAATGACAATCACCTACACAAATGCAAAACTACCCACAGGTCCAGAAGACAATGGCATAAGTGGCTCTACCCATGTAATATTTCACTGCGGTAAATGCAAAACACCCTTATCAAGCCCTCCGGCATCAGGCGACGGTTCTCTAATGCACCTGCTCAGCATAATCACTTAACATCAGGGCTAAACACACACACACACACACACACACACACACACACACACACACAGACAGACTAACACCATACCATCACTGTGATGAATCAAATTAGAGACATGGAACGCATTTCGTCCTCCACTAAACATAAGCTAGGATACATTTTTCAGATGTATCCTGTCATTCTAAAACTTGATCTGACATCGACATACCGCTATCTCACACTATGTGGTTTCACAAGGCCAATTTGTCTCCGAGGACAATGGCCAAACCATCCTCTGCTGGAAGGCGCATCTTAAGTCTGTACTATATGAAGTAAGATCAGATGTTTGGCCAGATAAAGAACAATGCACTGATTTTCCTGCAAAGAAACATGGGTAAATCCATCCACCCATCAAAATAAAAATGTTTTTGAGAAATAGAAACATCTATTTTGCTAAAAAAAAAGAAAAAAAGAAAAAAAAAAGTAATTGGAAATGCTACTAGAAATGCTAGTAAATGTAGGCATCACAAAATTATATTTATTATATTTTTACACATATATTTATATTATATATATATTATATATATAAAAAAATCTATTTCAAATAAATGCTATTCTGAACTTTTTATTCAACAAAAAATTCTGAAAAACATAAAAAATATATACTTTATTATCTCTCTTTTGAAGACTCCGGAAACCTTTGCAGGTGTTTTGAGTTGATTAGCTGATTGGCATGTCACCCTATTCTAATTTGTTGAGATAGTGAATTGGTGGGTTTTGTTAATTGTGAGCCAACATCATCACAATTAAAAGAACCAAAGACTTAAACTACTTCAGTCTGTATGCATTGAATTTATTTAATACACAAGTTTCACAATTTGAGTTGAATTACTGAAATAAATGAACTTTTCCATGACATTCTAATTTATTGAGATGTACCTGTATGATACGACATATCAAACAAGTGAATTAATCAGCAGATATTTGGCTATTTTGAAATGACCATGACTCTGACAAAGCACACATTGCCCTTATCAGGGTTACTGTATATATTCTTGTGAAAAGGAGCACTTTATGTTTCTTTTCTGTATTTTGACATACCTCTCGTCGCCTGGAGGCCCAACAGGTCTGTTTGATTTTCCACACCACTGCAGCTACCAGCAACAGCGACAGAAAACAGCTGTAGGATGAAGAAAAGAAAGGATGGAAAGATTAAATGATGTAGAATTTTCAGATATAGATATATATATATACACTGTGTCAGCTGGTAAGGTATTTGCTATACTGTTTATAATGCAATAGCTATCTGTGCTGTATTTTGACATACCTCTCGTCGCCTGGAGGCCCAACAGGTCTGTTTGATTTTCCACACCACTGCAGCTACCAGCAACAGCGACAGAAAACAGCTGTAGGATGAAGAAAAGAAAGGATGGAAAGATTAAATGATGTAGAATTTTCAGATATAGATATATATATACACTGTGTCAGCTGGTAAGGTATTTGCTATACTGTTTATAATGCAATAGCTATCTGTGGAACTATAAGGGATTTATCTAATTACAATTTAATACTGGAACTTTTGAAATTTTACTGTTTTGAGCATTTTAATTGATATGTTGATGTTAACTGATGTATTGATAATTTATTTGTTATGAATAAATGTCTCATTTGCATCCAAGTTCCAAATAAATAAATACAAATTATTCATTTGTAAAATAACAGAATTATGCAAAAACATGTATAACCATGTGGAGAAAATGATATTTTTATCTGAAATATTAGTATTACTATTAGCTTTATTTGCTTCGCTCTACCAAAGAGTGTTCTTTTCTGCTCTAAATGCCTCATCAGCATGCTTGAGTTATTTTGACGTATTAAAAGCAGTCCATGTGTCGAAGGTGCAAGGCAAGTGTGAGACAGGAAATGTTATTTTAGCTTTTTAAACGCTTAGCTTCTAAGAAATTGATTTTCATAAACACTTAGAAACGCATCTAGAGGACATAGTTGGATGCCTTAAATGGACACATATGTTGAATATGCATTATGATTGGATGAGATCGAAGCATCCTGGTTTTATTAGGGTAGAAATACTTAAAGTGTTCCTTCTTTTGTCACAATCTACAGCCAACCCCGAATGACTATGAATGTAGACCTTTTCCTGCAAGAAAATAACATTTCAAAAGACTTTTGTCTCATACCTTCATTGAAATGGAAAAATGCCACAACACACCACATTGCTAAAAATATTCAAATATATTTAATCAATATTACAGCAAAAATATTTATGTGGCACTTTGTTACTGTGATATTACATTAATCATACTGTGATATAAAATTTGGGTCATATCAGCCATCCCTTCTAATCACTAACATGCTAACATGTAACAATTACTTCATGTTTCTTTATTGCAACACTTGCCTCTCATCTCATATATCTTCATCTAGTGTTAAAAAGAAGCTTTGCACTATGAGCAAGAAGTGACAGATTTATGTTTATACCATTCAACAGATGTCAAATATGAACATTACCACTGGATAAAAACACTGGATTTTCAAAAACAACATCTTGTGAAACGATTGTTTAGTAATTATATATATATATATATATATATATATATATATATATATATATATATATATATATGTGTGT